GTGGTGAGTCTGTCTGTCACATAAACTTGAGGTTGGTTGTTCTCGGTGTGGGTAGGTTTGGGTAGGAAATGCAAGGGAAATAAAGACAATGCTCTTTACTCGCAGATTTGAGATCGATGTGAAACCTTGCGCAGGGGTCGCCGTCAACTTCTCAGATTACCGGGTTATTTTATTATTTTATTATTTTTTTTTTATAATTTGCCTAGCTCCACAATAAACAGTAAGATCAATGATATCAGGCGGCGTTGCAACGTGGATGAGAGCAGATTCAAGTGGTCTGATCAAGGCACTTTTCTCACGGATGTACAACTTGTTCACCAACACTGCAATAGTAAGCTTCGCCCAAACATAGGTCTAGAGTTGTAAGCAACACTGAGTCATCCTTTATCCCTTGTTAGGAAGCTATCCACTTGTTGTGTCGGGTTTTTTGGCCAAGATCAATCTCCTAGTTATCATCATAGTTCACTCTTCTTCTCCCCGAGTAAGCAGTCCACTGACCCAGTTCGTTTGCCCTCAATGCCCGTCTCCCTTCTCTCTCTCTATCTGCTGCACTGTCACTCTCCCCTCTCTCTCACTCTGTGCACTCTCATTCTCTCAATCTGTGCACTCCCTCTCTCTCACATTGGTGGACTCTCATTCTCCCTCCCTCTCTCTCTCTCTCTCTCTCTCTCTCTCTCTCTCTCTCTCTCTCTCTCTCTCTCTCTCTCTCTCTCTCTCTGCCTTTACTAACCATGGTCTTTAGTCGCCGAGCCCTAAGTTCAATCACTTCGGGCCGGGAAAGGGTTTAATATTACCTGTCTGGCCCGCCTGATCTGCGAGCTCGGTTCGAGTGAGGTAATGGAACTCATTGTCGAGGACCATTACGGCCCAACGTATTCAGGAGGTGTTTGCGGGCAAACACTTCCCGATATTTCAGAGTGTACCCGAGTAGTGGCAGCAGTCGAATCAGCCTTCAGTTTCTTCCATGTGTACGGGTTGTGCTCGATTCTGTCGCTGTCCATAGACAGCCTTAGCGTCCAGATCAATGCCCGGTATTCAAAATGTATTCAAGCAGGAGCAACTGCCAGATCAGCTCATTCTCTCCCATGTATACGAGCCGCTACAGCGGACAGGTCAATGTACAACGTTCGACACCTACTCAAGCGGTGGCAGCGGCAGATCAGCCCATACTCTCCCATATGAACGAGCTGTTGCAGCGACCAGATCAACGCCTAGCATCGACCATGTATCTGCACTGCTTTAGAGAGCAGATCAAAGTTCAAAGTTCAAAACGTACTCAGCCAGGGGCAGCGACCGGATCAGTCGATTCTCTCCCATGTATATGAGCTGCTGAAAAGGGGAGATCATCGCCCATGTATCTGCACTGCTTTAGCAGGCAGATCAAAGTTCCAAGTTCAAAATGTACTTGTCCAGGGACAGCGGCCAGATCAGCCCCATTTTCTCCCATGTATATGAGCTGCTGAAACGG